TCTTTTTATTAATCCTCACTCCCCGGCCCCTCAGGCTGTTTGATTTATCGGCTGGATCCGATATTTGGCGCCCGAACAGGGACCTGAGCACGGGGATGGTCGTGAAGGACACCGCGGAAATTGTGGGACGCGTCGGATTAGCTGTGAAGTGTGCGATGAGTACAAGCCTCTACTGGGAGTAGAAAAAATTTAAACACGGGACAAGGTAATAGTCGACTGTTGTTTGCGCAAATGTTAAGAAATATGTTAAAAGCTCGAGGAGCTAAAGCAAGTGAGAAACAGCTACATAGATTTTTAGACTTGAGGGCCCTCTAAATAACTCTTTGGCAGCCACACTTCCTCTTCCGTATTCAGCAACTTAACAAAAGTAAGTCTTAAAAGATTTCTCTAACTCTCAGTAACTTTCAAGGTCTTACAGATAGCCTTAAATGGAAACAGCCTCTGCTTAAGGCTGCGATAACTAAAGAGGAAAAAAAAAGAGGCACTTTTAAACCCAGGCGGCAGCAGCCGCGCCCCCCCACTCCTTGTGGCAGCCTCTTGAAGTTGTAGGGACCGGCGTGGGATCTTGGATCCTCTCTGTAATTGTTGATGGTTCTGTTTGTATATGTAGTCTCTGATGCTTGTCTATGTTTTATATGTTTTGTAATGTTTTTACCTCCGGATGGCATTGTTAATTTGTAGTGTTTGATTAACAAAAAATAAAAAAATAAACTTTATTAAATAAAATAAAAATTAACTCAACTTCTCAAGATCAGATCATTTAAATAAATAAATATATTGTGTGAAGTGCTATTGTAATCAATGATGAATAACATCAAAAATAAGGAACAACTTTTCACATAAAGCTTTGTCACATTTTAGTGTACCTTTGGAATGAAAATTTAATAAATAGAAAGATAGGAACATTTTAATTTCTTGATACGTATTGCAAAATTGTGTAGGGAAGAAAAAAGAATACTTTTCCCTTTACCAGTCTAGGTTCTGCATCTAGGACCCCTGAAATTAAACTGACAAAAGACAAATTAACAAGAGAAAAACAAACAGCATTTATTATCACATGCAGTGCACATATACACAGGAGAAACTCAGTGATGAATAAGGCAAAGGGATGGTTAAAAGTTGGGGTTTTCACAGCATCTTAATGTGGAGGAAAAGGATCCACAGGTTAAACCTGACAAGCTTAGGAGACTGAAAATAACCCCATAGGATGGCATGTACATAAAAATTCCTAACTAAGGTGGGCCATGGCAGGAAGTTGCATCTTTAGTCTGCAGCTTCCTTGACAAAGATCAATCTCTATCTTAAGTGAGCCTGTCTATTGTCTTTTTGCATGTAGGATAATATGTCCTTGGAATGTCAAAATCCCTTTTTCTGGACCAGAGCAGGAAACTACAGAATGCCCCATTATTATCCTTGTCCCCTGATTACCATGTATATGTGCTATAAAAAGTGAACGATTAACTATCCTGTAACTACCTATGTGAAAGAAGTATCTGTCTCTCCAATTTACTTTTAGCCAATCCCAGAGATTTCCCCACTTTGCTTTCCCCACCTCCTTAATCTACCACCAATGGATTTCATGTAACCCTTCTCCTTTGATTCTACATATAAAATATGGTGCAAACCGCCGTTTTCAGGAGCATTTTCTCAATCAGTTGAGATTTTGCTTCCTGGCAATTGTCGTGAGTTTAGCTAAAATAAACTCGTATAAGCTTTCTCTTAGGCTGGATGTTTCTTCATAGACATTAACAAAGAACAATACATTTGTAGAGAAGTGACAAGACAAAGTTTAGACTTTTAGGGTTGGCAAGCTGTAGGAAGGTAAATATATGGGGGTGGGGAACTAATGGAAGGTAAGGGCTAGTTAGTAATGTTTGTTATATGGATTCCTCTGGTGTTGTCTCCAGAAGGATGTACAGTGTCTTGGGTGATCAGGAATCCTACTGCCCTGCATGGTAGAGGGGGAGGGCGGAGAGTTTTCTTATGTTTGCTTCTCAATTGCCTTTGGCTCAAAAATGATCCTTATGTCAAAATAGCATCTTTAGGGTAGCATACTCTGTACTCCCTCAATTGCTTTCCACAATATGTTCTAATATTCAGGCAGTCCACCAGTGTACGAGAGGGCTTATTTCATCACACCTCTGCCAGCAATGGATGTTCTGATATACAGCAGGTTCTTGAATACTGTCATTTCGTTCAGCGTTGTTTCGTTATAACATTGATGAGTGCCATAAGAACTTAACCCTTGTTTATATCAATTAGCCTATGGGAAAATTATTTCATAGTAGGTTGTTTTGTCACAGTTCCAAGAACCTATTCACGCCATTAAGTGAGGACTTACTGTATATCTTTTTAAATCTACTTGAATTAAAAAGAAAAAGATTGCATTATTGTTTTTATTTGGAATTCATTGAAGGTGAATATTTTTAAAATGTATATTAATGATTTTTATTTGTCTTTGTGGTTTGCCAGTTTTCTCTGTGGTGGAATTTAAATGTTCTATTGTTAATTATGGAGCAGAGCAGATTGGGTCAGTCAGTAGAAGAAAAGATTAGGGTATTAAGAGAACAGACTGGAGCCTGCCAATAAGGAGCAGAGGATTGAGAGGTAATTTGAGGTAATTTGAATGGACACTTTTGGTTAATGGGTACAGTGAATTATTTAGGTAATTGACAAGGAATGGGAAAATCAGCTCTTGCTGACGTGATTTGGCTTAATTGACTTTTCCAAATGAGAGGACCCAATCCTAATCTTTAAAACAGCTGCTTCTATTCTCCTACCTCCATCTTCAGACTCCGGAAGGGTTTATAAAACAGGGATGCATAGATATTCGATGATTTTATTCCTCTGTTGGTAAAAGCTGTAAAAGTCATATAAAGCATTTTATTTAACTTTCTAGTAAAATTCCTATAGGCTGGTGCCTATTTTTTTTTTATATATATACTTTTGCAAATGGTACAGAATGCCTGTCCTTGAAGAAATTGAGGAAGTTGAATGCTAATAAGGAAGCTGCACTGTAGACCTGGGCCTAACACGGCAGCACAGCATAGGAGGAGGGCAAAGATAGTCAGTCAAGGCCATTAATATTTTGCTATTCCAATTAGAAAAATAATTCATGAGTATTTAGAAAATATAGAAAACAGGGTAAAGTACGTAAGAGACAGTAATTTCTCATAATTCCAACACTCAAAAGAAAACTTGTGGACAAAAGAGGGGTTCTGTAATAAAGCTGACCAGTCCAGTGACACGGAAAGTCAATTCCTAACTGGGTAGGTAGTCACACCCTAGGCCTATAATTTCTTTAGTGAACAGTTTTAAGCCAGTCTTGTCCATTGTTCTTGTGCATTTATGTTAACACACAGCATAACCCTCTATTTCAGACCCCTGAAGCTAACCCCTCTCATGAGAGCACATAATCTTAACTATCCCATAATCCAGTCTCCACCTTGCTTTCTCCCACCTTTATTTAATCTTTCTTATGTTCCCCCCTTAAATTCAAATGCATAAAAGAAACTGTAAACTGTGGTTCTATGAAGCATTCTTCTTGGCCTGTTGAGATCTTGCTCCCAGGCATATCTTTTGTTTGGCTGAAGTGAACTCTAATAAACTCTTAAAATTTTTTTCTGCATGTTTACCACACTCTGTTAAAACAGTTGGGCTTCTTTTAGTCTTTTCAGCAATAAGTAATTTTAAGAATTGTTGATTTGCTCTTCTTTTGGCTTTTCTTAGCTCTACTCTCATTAAAAAAAATTTAACCCTATTGAATTTTATACAGTTGCTTCTATTTACGGGAAAGAGAAACTTGGATAAATGTGTGGAAGAAAAAATGTCCCTTTACCCTCAAGGTTCTTTTGGCTGGTCTAATAATCAAATAGACATGAGACAGATTAGCAAGAAAAAAATAACCAAATTTATTACATATGTATGTATGGAAACCCCCACATACATGAGAGAGTCAGAGACCCCACATGCAGGAGAGGTTTAGAGACAGAAAAGGAACATGAGTATATAAGACATTCTGAGCTAGGAATGAGGAAAGGCACCCTGGGGGCTTCCAAGGGTCATTGCAGAATGGTAAGAAGAGGAGATGTTTGGTAAATAGTTTACCCTGCCATATAGATGGGTCAAAAAGAGATTATAGTTGATAATCTCTTATTATGGGCAAAGCCCCTAATTAAAATTCTTCTAGGTAGTTAAAGGGAGGGACAGAAGTTTTCTCTTGAGCCTGAATCAAAAATTGCCCTTAGCTCACAACAGTCCACATACCACAGAAGCACATCTTGGTGTGACTAGCTCTGACCCCACACAAATGGATATTGGCATTTAGCTTGTTCCCTGGAACGTGAATCATAATCCATCCTGGAAGAGGATGGGAGGAGCCTGTAAACCCTCCTGTTTGCCCAGCATGGGAGGAACCTGAGCTTCAAGGAGAAGTGACTTGCCCAAGGCATACAACCTGCATTAAGGAGACTAGAATCTAGCCTTCTAACTCCCAGTCCAGGGCATTTCCTACTAAATCCTGCAGTCATCTGGGATGTCCCTTCCCTCCTGGCAGATCTAAATCTGTTAAAAGTCACTCTAGATCTCGAGCTAGATCCCACCTGGAACTAAATTTAAGGGTGAACCTTAAGCACAAAGGAACTGTGAAGGGAATTCAAAAGTTTCTTCTCTGAGAAAAGCAACCTCTGAGTGGGTAAACTGGAGGGTAGTCTCAGAAAAATTCCAGAGAATAATTATCATGTGCTTTACCTATATGGGAGTGTCCTGGAAGCAATCCAGTTATATTAATGGCAGGTATCTCCTTGTGCAACTTTTAATAACATTTCTGGAGTTCGAAGCATTAGATTTGAAGTCCTCCAGGATTCTGTAGGGAGGGATAAACGGGCATTGGTGGCACTTAGACCTCAGTAACTTGAGACATCAAGATAAGGTTTCCTAACATTCTAAAGGCCAGGCCTTTTGGGGGTGGGACTAAAGGCTAACAGAACTTTGCATTTCCACATTCCAGCTTTTGTTATTCCACTTCTAAACACTACAATTAACTTGGTTAACCTGCCTTTACCTTAAAGAGAAGGAGAGTATTCACTGCAGGACGCTTCCAGGCAACTTTATCCTCCTGGGAACCCAGGGAGAGAGGTATGTAGGAGCCAAGTTGCTTGAAAACTACTGGAGGGAGGTGGTCTTCCTGTAACCTGACTTCTACTTAATCCCCCATAGCAGTTTAAGATCCAGTAGGCTTGTATGCATTTGGACTCCATGTAGGTTTTACACTTCCAGAACCCAGCACAGTGCCTGCCATAAAGTAAGTACACAAAAAATGTTTGTTGAATGAGTGAATGAATCATTTGATAGTGGTACATGCAATTTCTACTTGTACAATTTTTTTCAAAGAATAGCACATGTTAGTTTAGTGTTTTCATTTTGTGATGTACTTACTAGGGACGATGACTTTTGATTTGTCTTATTAAATCATTAGAATACATATAAATCTTAGGTGCAACTTCTAACTTTTTACTGAAGGACCATGTTCATTTCTAACTTAATGGTTTGCATTATGTTCCTCCATTCCCTTCAGGCAAAGGAAAAATGTTTACAGGATTTAATAAAGCACTTGGCACTGCCTGGTGTTTAAAACATACTTTATTTGATTAGTCACCCTCCACAGCATTCTTGTGAGGTATGAACTTCCTTTGATAATAGATAAAACTGAAAATGAAGTCCTGGACTATCTAAAAAGAGAAATGAAGTAATTTCACAATTCTAGTAAAATATTCAGGTTTTGTCAAACACAAAGCTACTTTTTAATTTTCTTTATTTTTTCAATTTGGGCCTTTTATCATCATCTCCAGCCAGTGGTGGATTGGTCAAGCAGAGAGTAGGCACCAATGAGTTCCTTGTGGACCATGGGGTTTGGGAAGAAATGGGGACACCACAATTCCAGCACCCTGGGACCTTAAAGATTAGGGGGTCCTGTTCCTTTGCATTCAGTTCTGATTGAATAGCATATTGCTTTTGAAAGAAAGGAGGCTACATTCTTTCAGCACGTTATTCTATCACTATCTGAAGCTCCAGGTCTCCCTGGTAGGAGCAACACTTGCTGCAGCAGTGACACAGTAAGTTCCTATAACTTCACAGTCAAATCAAGGACTCTGAGGAACAGAGCAGGGGAAGGAAAAGGCCAAAATCTAGAAAGGGAATATGCCAAATTAGCATATTAGGGATTGGACCCCTGGGCTACCTTTGCCCCAAGATATCCAACCTCTAAAATCCAGTCAAAACTAATTTGAGGACTTTCTGAGCAGGGAGAGGTTAGATTGAAAACATCTGAGGTCCTTGGGCTCTGACTCCTCCTTTAGCCATCGGCATTTAAACTTATGGTTGTCAGGTGTGGTTTCTGTGTGCAAATGCAGCTGGAAAGTGCCCTCTAGGCATAGGCCCTACCCAATACCGGAGTGCTGTTGCTGTTCCTCAGCTCTTTGCCCCAGCTTCCCTTTGCCCCAAGGATATTTACCTGACTGGAAAGAACCAACTTCTTTGTGCATTTTCCTGCTATCTTATTTTCAGTTTTATGTTAAACTATGGAAACTCTCCCACTTACTCCCTGCACTCTTTTCTTCCCTAGGGCTTTCCCTCAAGGTCTGAAATTAGCTCTGAGGTCTCTGGCCCGCCCTGAGCCGAATATCCAGAATCTTCCCAGTTCTAGCAGGAGACTGATGTTGTCTTCATTTTGGAATTGAAACACCAAGACTCACAGGTGGGTGACCTGGCTAGGAAGGAAGCTGCCACTGGGGATTGGAGGTCCCCAAGTAACTGCAGGGGCTGTTTTCTTTTCTTTTCTTTTCTTTTTTTTTAGCTGAGCGATCGTGCCACCTGTTGGCAGCTCAGCGGCTGCTCAGCTTGGGCTGGACTCGAACCACTGTTGTTCAGAGCTCAAACTCTTGAGCGAGCTCTTAACCAACTGAGCCACTCGGCCGGCCCTCAGGGGCTGTTTTCTTAAATTTACCCAAGAGGAAGCTATGAGGTGTGAGGTCAAAGGACTTGTTCAAGGTCTCCAAACTGTCAAGAGTAGCTTTGGTCCAACTGGAGACTTGCTGACACATAGTCCAACATAGTCCAGGCCTCACTTCTTGGCTATTATAAGCCCTGTTACTTCAGGCTATTACCTGTGGTTACAGAAAACATTGAGGAGGGTAAAACTGGGTACCGAATTTAACAATAGTAAATACCTAAATAAATGGAGAAAGAAAGAAGAGGGAAAGAGAAGAGGGCCAGGGCAGGGAAATAGTTGGAATGGCGAAAAAAGACAAAACCTCAAGTGCACTTAAGACCAATTTAATTCAAGCTGTTCCTGCTCTACGAATTCACCAGGGTTTTTTTTGTTTGTTTGATTTTTTTTTTAAGATTTTTATTGGGTAATTGGGGGGATAGGAACAGTACTGGGGAATTAGGGGAAGGGGAACAGACAAGTTGCTGTCGTTTTGTTCTTCAATCTATTTGTGGAGGACACTGCTTCACTGGCCCAAGTTGGCACCATCATTGCGCTCTTCCCTGGCGAGGCAGATCAGTCGCCGGCTTCTGGACGGCCGCTCACTGCGGCTGCTGGCCGCTCACGCTGGCTGCTGGCTACACACGGTAGCCCATGGCAACCCACTGCTACAGGGACTGCAGCCTACGCCGTCGCCAGCGACTCACGGCAGCCCAGCTCCAGGTTGAGCTGTTGTTCAGCATCTTAGCTGTAGAGGGCAGTGTCACTGGCCCTCATATGTGGGATCCGAACCGGGGCCCTCTGGCATCCCAAGCGAGTTCTTAACCATCGCGCCACTCGGCCGGCCCTCACCAGGGTTTTTGCAGACTCTGCGAGAGTTTCCATTTGGCTTCCCTGGTAGCTAATTTGGGTACAGAGGTGATGTCATGATGAAATGAACACAGGAAAAGTGTTTGAGGCATCATATGGCCCCAATAAGATGAGGATGATGGGCAGCATATCCACATCCACAGAAATGAAGCTCTTTTCTTCCGCTCTGCTGTCTACAGCCAATTGCTGAGCTGAAACTCTAAGGGCAGTTATTTTAGTGAAATAAAAATTAGTTTATGTCCTGAAATGAGAATTTATGAGAGTGTACATTATATAGAAATAAGTTAAAGTATAGGTTTAACTCTGGGACATAAATATACATCCTGCCATTTACTGAGTGACCAAGCCACAAGTTTATACTGGTCCCCAATTTCTTCAGAGCTCTACTCTACCTGATCATGGCTTCCAACTTACTATTTGGGGTATTCATTTTAATTTGATGCTCATGCTGGGATGAAGAATCACACTGTTCTTTTTGGTCACTCACTACCATCCCCTTCTATTATTTTGCACATATGCAAGAGCATAGAGCCCAGATTTACAAGAAAGATTAGTAATATAATGCAAAAAAGGGCCTCAGGAAAGCCATGAAGGTCAGGAAAACCCACATTTTCCACGTGACCACCAAGAGAGTAAGCCTCAGATAGCACTGGGTTGATAGGAAAAAAGATTGATACTAATGTTTTTAAAAGTGTTTATCTGGCATTGTCAAAGATGTATTTAAAATAATTGTGAATGTTTGTAGAGCTCGAAAATCAAGGGACCGTCGTAGCATTTCAGGTGAGGTACCATTAAGAATTCCACTATAGCAAAGTACTAATATTCAAATGTTCTTCATCCTGTAACTGTAAATTCATAAAAGTGCAGGCAAATTATTAGAGATGATTTTATGCATAAAATGAGTAGAGGGATGGAACTGTGCCAAAAATGAGGTGATAGCCAAAATAAAGAGCTGATGTAATTATTTGAATGTATTAGGAGAAAAACCTGTAAAAATTATTTGACTAGTTTAGACAAGCATAATTAGGTATTGACCACTTTATTTAATTATCCCTAGTCAATTTCATTTGACATGGGCAGTGGCTACCTAGAGGGGTATTAAAAATAAATAAAAATTAGAAAAATTTTAGTCATCGTCTCTTTTGTTTTCTTTTTTTATTATAGTTGACAATATTATATTAGTTTCAGGTGTACATCATAGGGTTAGACATTTATATAATTTATGAAGTGACCCCCCTGCCCCTGACTAGTCTAGTACCCACCTGACACCATACTTAGTTATTACAATACTATTGACTATATTTCCATATGCTTTACTTTATATCCCTGTTACTATTTTGTAACTGCCAATTTGTACTTCTTAATCCTTTTACCTTTTTCACCCTATTTTCCAACACCCCCTGCCCCCAATCTGGCAACCATCAGTTTGTTCTCTATCTATGAGTTTGTTTCTGCTTTGTTTGTTCACTTATTTTTATTTTTTCGAATCCACATATAAATGAAATCATATGGTGTTTGTCTTTCTCTGTCTGACTTATTTCACTTAGCATAATACTGTCTAGGTCCATCCATGTTGTCACAATGACAAGATTTCATTCTTTTTTTATGGCCAAGTAATATTCCATTGTATATATGTACCACATCATCTTTATCCAATTGTCTTTATCCAATCGTCTATTGATGGACCCTTAGGTTGCTTCCATATTTTAGCTATTGTAAATGATGCTGCAATGAACATAGGGATGAATGTATCTTTCGAATTAGTGTTTTGATAGTCAATATTTCTGAAAAGATTGGTCTTATATGACTACCATATTGAAGAAATGTTTTGTTCAAAAGAATTCTAGATAGATACATGAAAGACAGTTATGTAAATAGGTATTTGGGTTGATTGAATTCCATTTTGGTTCATATACAATAGTTAAGACTGCATTCACCTGAATTGTGATGTAGGTTCTTTTTCCTAACATAAGTCAAGATTGACTCACCTAGTTTTGGAGAATATCCCTGGGCACTTTCTTATCATTTCCTGTGCTCCCGCTGCTTATGAAACAGAGTTGGCAGCCAGCTCATTAATGCATTAAGCTGGGTGGGAAAAAGCAACAACAAATAATAACTTCAGTCTTATGTTCTGAAGTAATGATTGTGAAGACAATACCCAACAAAGACTCAGTAACACTATAGAATTTTATGTTAAGATAGGAAGTGGAAAATATAGGATGCAAACATGCATGACCTCTGTGTTCTTAGTAAAATCAAAATGTGTATGTTTCTGAGCAAGAGCTAAATGAGAGTACAGAGCATGAAAACACTGTGTTTACAAACTCTCTATTATGTAATATTATGTTGTCTTTGTTATCAAGATGTGATGGAAAAAAATAGATAGTTGAAGGTACCCATATCCACAGATATAATTATAGATTACATATCATTAATGCTTGGAATCGCACACTAATGTGATCAGGGAAACAGGGAAATGAAAACTTGAGCACTCAATCAATAAATACTTGATTGTCTAGTATGTGCAGTCAATGTTGGGAGCCCCTTTAGGCACACACAGCATGCTCTCACACCCATGTGCTGCTAACTACCAAATAAAACAAAATGGATTAGTGCTGTTCTAGATGTGTAATCTCATTGGCATGGGCTCACAGAGAAAGAAGTCAAGGAGGAGTAAGAAGATCTCAAAGGAGGTAGTAATTGTGTCATTTTCTTGACCTGTGAGTGGGGGCAGGGGCTCTTATTTACTCCTCTAGCAGCCCCATTTATGGCTGAGCATACTATAAACTTTTTATATGTGACGTCATTTATATTTTCACGATTGACCTATGAAGGTGGTAAAATTACTCAGTCTCATTTTTTACAGTTAATGAAACTCCTTTGAAAGGTTTATATATCTGAATCTAAGGACCCTCTCTCCTTAAATTCTGGATGGTCCCAAACTGAGATGGCTCCTCTCTCTTACCTCTCCAGGCATCAGGCTTCTTCAGCTTCCCCTAGATCTTACTTGGGTTAGGGTGAAATAAACTTGACATTCAGCTTTAGCTGGTGATGATGGGCTGGGTTTTTTTGGCTTAAAAAAAAAGCCTTTATTCATCAGAGTGCCCCAGACGCTTAGTGGAGTAAGTTAGGTGGTGAGGTAAGCTTGTTAATGTGTGTTGTAAAGGACCTCACCTAACAGCAGAGAAAATTAAGCCCTGGAAAGAATTTGGCTAAACAGCCAGTCAACATGGAGAGGGGTATGTGTGTGGAAAAAGACAGTTAAGCATTTTATTTTTAAGCACTAAATATTTATTGACAGAATATCTCTTCAGGCAGTGTTCACATGCCTAGAACTGACGCTTTTAACTTGGCAGTGCTGTTTAAGCAAACAAACTCAGTCAGTTGAGCGCAATGATTAACAGGAAGTTGGAGAGCTGATACAGATGACAACCTTTGGCCAAGAGGCTGGGTTTGAAGCCTTAGAGCGATGACTTGCAAAATGGTCCCCTCAGTGCGTAATGATTTTACTGTGGGGCTGGGTGGACACACTGCAATCACAGCTTCCCTGAGGAAACTTATTTTTGCGTAGTAACAGGTTTCAGATTAATGGGAGACTGAGCAAAGAAATCCAGAGGAATTACTTCAGAAATGTGTCAAAGAACATTGGAAATGCAACACAGCGGTGAATGAGGAGGGAAAGAAGACAGAAAAAGAACAAGAATGGTCAACCGGAAGGACACGAAACCCAGTCAGAACTGCATGTACCCAAAGGATGATTATGGATTCTGGAGAAAATGTAAGTTAGATATATCTCCACTTTGATCAGATCTCAAGAGATATTTTGCTCATTTCCTGGTTTTGAATAATGGGCTCTTGGAAGCACTGTCTTTTTAGTGTGTCTGTTATCACTGCCCTGATTTTTGTATTTGTTTACAATAACAAGTTATGGGAGAAGAAACGTTTTCTGAGGGCATCTCTTTCCAATGCTTCACTGTTAACAGAATACTGTCATCAGATTTTTAAGGGGAAGGTTTTTTACTCAACAGAGAATGCATTGAAAACTACCATCAGTGACTCTACCTGTTATGAATACATGGCTCAAAATCACTATATAACAGAAACACTCTCTGAAGAGGAGGCTGGGTTCCCTTTGGCTTACACAATGACCATCCACAAAGACTTTGGCACTTTTGAGAGACTCTTCAGGGCAATCTACATGCCCCAGAATGTCTACTGCGTGCATGTGGATGAAAAAGCGACAGTCGAATTTAAAGAGGCAGTGGAGCAATTACTGAGCTGCTTCCCAAATGCTTTTCTGGCTTCCAAGATGGAGCCAGTTGTCTATGGTGGGATTTCCAGGCTCCAGGCTGACCTGAACTGCATCAAAGATCTTGTGGCCTCGGAGATCCCATGGAAGTATGCCATCAACACCTGTGGGCAAGATTTCCCCCTGAAAACCAACAGGGAAATAATTCAGTATCTGAAAGGATTTAAAGGGAAAAACATTACCCCAGGCGTGCTGCCCCCAGCTCATGCAATAGGACGGACCAAATACGTCCACCAAGAAGTAGTACACACACAAAATTCACGCATGCTTAAAACAACAAAATTGAAAACTTTGCCTCCTCACAACATGACCATTTACTTTGGCACTGCCTACGTCGCCCTCACAAGGGAATTCACTAACTTTGTCCTCCAAGACCAGCATGCACTTGACTTACTATCCTGGTCCAAGGACACCTACAGTCCTGATGAACATTTCTGGGTGACACTCAATAGGATTCCTGGTAAGTCTTAACTTTTGTTTTCATGAATCAACAGTGCATGGTCAATATTGAATGAACTGCTTGAAAATATAGTAAAAAATGAATGTTGCAAAGATTTTTACAGTTTTAAATGTTAATGAAAAAATTTTTTTATAGCAGCTCTGCTCATCATCAATGGAGATGCTATAACTCATCTTCATTGTACAGGTAAGGAAACAAGTCATAGTGATTAGCAGGGTAGAGCTAGAGCTTGACTGCCTGGCTTGATTTTGCTGATATACCAAGCTGCCTGTCTGGGCCAGAGACCCACTTCAAATAATGTGCTACAACCTTGAAACAGGGCAGGGGGCTGAGGGAACACTGGCTATGTAAATGAGATTAAACCCAATCCTCCTTTAAGTGTGATGGCATTTATAATCAGAAATAAATATTATANTCCTGCAGCTTTGCAGGAAGTTTATTTTCTTCCTTGTCAATTCCGGTTCAGCTTTTACACAGTCCACAGGGCGGGAGTCCTGACCCCTATCTACTTTTCTAAAGGGTAGACATCCTTTGCTACCTATGCTGAATGCATTAGAAAACATTTTGGGGGTGTCATTGGCCTGTGAGAGTTATTAATCACCTGGTTGCTAAGGTCAGTATAAATTAACATCTTTATGCATTTTGAAGGTTGTCATTGTACGTTTTAGTTCAAGTTTAGAAAAGTAAAATCACCAGGTAAGGGAATTTGCAAGAGTCATTTCAGCCCTGGGAGGCTTTGATTGAAGATATCCAGAAAATGTAGTTAAAGCGGTTTTTTTGGCTACAACTTGAATTCCCTGTATAATTGCTAGGCTCCAAACAGACCTCAGCCTTTATGCCAATTTTCCCCCAGTCCCTTCTTTGCCTGGAGAAAGCCTGATTATCTTTGAGGGCCCAGCTGAGCTGTATGGCCAAAATATTCATTTAGGTTTTTACCTCCTGAATCCTCTGACTAAGCAATTAAGTAAGCCTCAATTAAAAAAATAAAGGAACCCATTTAATCAAGATATTGTCCCAATGTGTAGTTACTGTAATTTGACCCCTTTTCTGTGGTTTTATGCAAACTGTAATTCTCCCTTCCATTTACAAATCAAATGGCTGTAAGCCCCTCCTTTCTAATAAAACCATGTCGACTATTTTTAGTCTATGTCCTGTCCATAGAAGAACCATCTAAACCTATAGAGAATTTTTATAAGTTTATTTAAGTGAAACTGATGACAATTGCCATTAAAGAAGATCTCAAGTGCTCCGGAGAACGACAGTTTTCACTTTCTCTTACGCATTTAGATTTGACGGAACCGAAGGAGGACTACATAAAAGTGGGAGAAAGCCAGGTGAGGACTGGAGTACAGGATAGTCAACAAGATTATACGCTCTCTTAAGGGTGGTCACACTTCCGAGGGGTCTGAAAAAGAGGCATTTCAAAGGTGTGTTAACCTAGGTGCACAGAAAAAATGGACAGCGCTTGATTAAGACAAAGATAAAACTTTTGCTAAAGAAATTACATGCCTGGGGCATGACTGCCCACCATGACCTGCCCAGTTAAGAATTTATGATCAGATCACCCTGTGAGGTTATTTTCAGTGAGATGGATTACAGTGCCTCTTTTTTCGTCCACAACGCTCATCCTCCCAGCTCTTGAGCAGTGAGACGAAAGGTTTGTGCTGGAGTTCTAGTTAGTGTTTTTGTGGCTTTCACTTTTTGTTTCTTTCATTTCACAAGATTTGCCCCTTGGCCGTGGTGTCCATTTGGGTGTGTGCCTTGGTCTGTGCTATCTACATTTGANCCAGCTCTAGGTCGAGCTGTTGTTCACCATCTTAGCTGTAGAGGGTGCAGTGTCACTAGCCCTCATGTGGGATCTGAACCGGGGTTCTGCTGCTCAGAGCTAGCATCCCAAGCCGGCTCTTAACCAACGCGACACTCGGCTGGCCCTATTTCATTTTCTTATGGCAGAATAGTATTCCATTGTGTATATACACCACAATCATCCAATCATCTATCGAAGGACACTGATTGTTTTCATGTCTTGGCCACTGTAAATAAAGCTGCAATCAACATTGGAGCACATATAGCTTTATGGATAAATGTTTTCAGATTTTTTTAGGTATATACCCAGGAGAGGAATTGCTGGGTCATATGGTAATTCTATTCTTAATTTTTTTAGAAACCTCCACACTGCCTTCCATAGCGGCTGCGCCAATCTGCATTCCCACTGACAATGTATAAGGATTCCTTTTTCTCCACACCCTCTCCAACACTTGTTATTATTTGTCTTGTTGATGATAGCCATTCTAACAGGTGTGAGGTAATATCACATTGTGGTTTTTATTTGCATTCCTCTGATGATTAGTGATGTTGAGCATCTTTTCATATGTCTATTGGCCATGCGTATGTCCTCTGGAGAAATGTCTATTCAGGTCCTTTGCCTATCTTTTAATTGGATTGTTTGTTTTTTTTTGTTGTTGAGTTGTATGAGTTCCATATATATTTTGGATATTAGTCAGCAGGGTATAACTTAAAATTTTTCATCTGTAAGTTCTTTCCTGAAATTGAACCAGAATTTAGAGCACCTGAAAGATTTCTAAACCAGTGCCTTCATTTTATAGACAAAGAAACTTCAGTGTGGTTACATGATGTGCTCAAATTACCCAGCTAGTAAGTGTACACACCAATTATAAACCAGGTCTCCTAAGCCTGATGTTATTTTTAACTTGATTTTCAACTAACTCCATTTCCTCTTTAGCCCAAGTTCCAAATATGTGAACGATCTCAAGTTGTTTACAGTGAACCAATTCAGTTCCGCTAGTTCAATTGAAAATAAAAATTTAGAGGCACAGTTCAAGGGAAAAGTAGCTTGAATTAATATGAGGATCAGCTTCATGGTTTCTTGAGATTAATGGTTCAACTCTAGGTGCATACTACAATCACCTACAGCTTTTAAAAATACCTAAGGCCAGGTCCTGTTAACCAAAGAGACCGACTTCCTGGGTGGATTATAGCCTTCTGTATTTGTTCAGTCTCTAGGTGATTCTCACAAAAAGCCAGCGCTATGAACCGTTCCTTGTAGTTGTTTGTTTTAGATGTCGGTATACAAAGCTTCATAGACTTGCAATGCTTTTTAA